AAATTCATGTGGGGTGAATTATCTCATTCAAAATGCTTGGAAACTTTAGTGTTAATATAAGGATTTGGGGGAGTACTACTCAGCCATAAAGAATGAGACACTAGAGACATTTATAGCTAAATGCATGCACATTGAGGCCCTACTCTTAAGGGAAAGAAATAGGACACACGTGTAATTACTGAATCATTTCACTGGTGTGAAAAACTAAAAGTGTAAATAAGGTTCAAATTGTATAATAGATGAGTGAAATTGAAAGAAAAGGGCTAAAGGAGTAGGGGAAATGGGAGGGTAGGGGAAAGGAAATAAGGGAAGAGAAAAAAAATACGAAAAAGGGAAAAAATGAAAACAAAGTCTTTCCAAATAGGGAAGGATGAAGGGGGTAAAGGGAGTGAAGGGGTATGGGGAAAAAATAAGAGCCAAGATAGATCATGTAACAGTACAAGATCCCAATGATGAATGTAACTGTACTGCATACCTAAAGAGTACCAGTAAACTTAATGAAAAAAATATATAAGGATTTTTTTTCAAATTTTGAAATATTTGCACATACATAATGATATATCTTGGGAATGGGACTCAAGCCTAAATACAAAATTTACTGATGTTTAATATATACCAGAGCCTGCATATAAAAATAACCTGAGAGCTGGGTGTGGTGGTGCACACCTGTAATCCCAGCACTTGGGAGGCTGAGGCAGGAGGATCATTGTGAGTTCGAGACCAGCCTGGGCTACATAGTGAGTTCCAGGTCAGTCTCACCTACGTGGTGAGACCCTGTCTCAAAAAACCAAAAACAAACAAAACAAATAAAAATAACCTGAGATAACTTTATACAAATATTTTTAATAATCTAATGAATGAAACAAAATTTTATAGTGAGGAATTTTCTACTTTGGTGTCATGCTGATGCTCAAAAAACTTCAGATTTGGGAGCATTTGGGGCTAGAAATAGCCAATCTATATTAACTTTTTTATCTTAGAATTCAGAAGAACTTTGCATTAAATGTATTTTCACCTACTCTTCTGTGTGTCCACTCCATTCCACCCCAGTTCAAATGGCTTATTTTTGCAAGTCTCTATCATTGTTTCTTGAGAAATAGTTTCACCCTGCACCTTTCTTTTGAGCCTATTACTCTTCAAACTTTTCTATGAAGAGAAAGTTCTATGCCTTCTCTCAGGCACCATCAGCTAAGCTACTGCACTTTATTCTCCTGCGTTTCTTGATTTGTTCCTAAGTAAAGACTCTCTGAAACTAAAATTATACTGACTGGCCATGGTATAAAGAATACTGTAACATATACTTCAAGGAGATTAAATGGAAAATAGTAGTCAACTCAAATAAATCTCTAACTGAATTGGGCCTTAAAGGGGATGCAGTAGAACTGATGTGAGCAGAAAATTTTTCTGACACTTGAGAATTTATTAGCATGTAAATTGTGCAACATACAGAAAAAGACAGTGCTTATATTGTTAAATTTCTTATTATCTAGCACTCTGTAATAGACATGGTTATTCATTATATCGTAGTGTAGACATCCGACTTTATATTGATATTTTCATTCCTTCCCTAAAGTTAGAGTTCTGAAAGATCAAAATTGTATTCTATTCATCTTCCAAGTAATCTATTTACTTTAAGAATATACGAGGAGTTTCAGGAAAATGCTTCAAAGCATTTTATATACTGCTTTAAAAGCAAAGAATAAGCTAAAACCTGGGAGGCAATCAAGTAAAACATGCTGCATACACCAATCTTTAAAACAATTATCTTTAGAGAAGAAAACTGAACTTTAGCTACTTATAAGTTATGGAATATAAAAGTAGTTACAGTTTAAATAGCAGTTCAAATACCAGAGGTAAAAAAATAAATAAAGAATTACACTTCCGGTTTCAGTTTTCTGCCATAATTCCTTATACTCTATGGAGTTTTCAGAGCATATTCCTTGAATTTAAAATAATCAGTAAGTTCCAGGCATAATGGTCCATGCCTGCAGTCCCAGTTACTCCCAAGGCTGAGTTAGGAGAAGTGCTTGAGCCCAGGAGTTCGAGGCCAGCTTGGACAATGCACCAAGGCCCCTGTCTCAAAGTTTTAAAAATTAAAATGACATAAACAAAAATTGAGACCTAGACAATGTAGCTTTATTTTAAAACCTCCGAATTCTACAAGACACACTTAGAAGTACTCAACAAGCAGCTGTATTCCTTTCCTTTCACATAAGTGACAGTCGTATTCGCTTTAAGCTGGAAACACTACATCCTTTGATTTCTCTTAGTTGGAAAAAAAAAAAAGCTTTAAGAGCCATGTGTTTTTTTCAAAGGGGTATTGAATTCTCAGAATTATTAACTACAGGGAGAAAATAAAAGTCAAAACTCATTCAATAAATTCCAGTGAGCTCCAGTTAAGAGAACAGGTGCGCAAGCACACATCTGAAGGAGAGCTCAGTCAGTGCTTTCCAGCTCCGCTTCCGGGCTGACCAGGCAGACCGTGAGCTCCTAGTCCGACCACAGAACAACGCAGGCAGCCGAACAGAACAGGCAACCTCTGTTCATTCACGCTGAGTGAATTGGTTGAAAGCGTCTCTCATGGCCTTCTGCGGTGCTCACTTACAGAGATACAGAGCTGCCATCTAGTGGCCAAGGAGAGAAAAGCAAGGTGCTTTATATGGAAAGCTGTATTTAGCAGTCATAATACAACTTCAAAACGCATAGTTTAATGCACCAATATGACACTATAATGTATCTCGACATATGGCTTTTATAAAAGATATAATTTAAAATTAAAATAACAACTTCTTAATAAATTTCTCATTCGTATGATGGTTTTGGAATCAGATTGCACTAAATAGCCAGAAGGTGACTTACCCATGAGTAACTATAAGTTTTTATCATAGTAGAAGCATAAAGGTGATACCTAAGCTCAAATCCTAACTTTGCCCTTCATCAATTTTGTGGCTTTAAGCAAATTACTTTTAACTCCTATAGGCAGGAAGGCATGATAATAAGCAGGAATCATTTTCTTTATAAGAATTATAACAGCTGTGTTCAAGGATTACTATAAGGATTATAAGGCATAATGCAGGGGGAAAAACACAGTTGTTGATAATTAATTCTAGTTCCTTATAACCCCTTTATGGACAGTTACTTTAGGCTCCTATGTACATAATTGTATAATTTAAAAAGCCAGCCCATTAAAAAAAAAAATTATGACAAAGGACCAATGACTCCAAAAGTAGGCGATGCCATTCTTGAGTGCTTAACCTCAACTGGTTCCAAATATTGCTACCTCGCCCTTCACTGTATTTCCCGGCTTCTAGACTCCTCACTGCCAACAAAGAAAGGATAAGATGTGATATTCAACCTACTTCATCACTGGGTCTGTCTTACATCATCCAATCCATTAGGTTTTCCGTTTATTGCAAGATACTTTTACTATGCTACATAGCTCGAGAAAAACAGATCAGTCTGTAATTTTGCACATGAGAATGTATCACAAAGCATTGTCATTGTAATCTTAACATAGAGAATAATGTTCATGTTTTATTATTGTTAAAGTTATCATTGTTTATATTGCTGTTATATATACATCATGTCTGGGTTCTCTTTGGCATTAGCATATATAAAAAAGAATTCAATCATATGTGCTCTAGACATAGAATTCAGAAAAGTCTAATTTAGCTATGGTTGCTTACCCAAAAAATAAAACTATGAGAAGACATTTTGAGAACAAAATCATGAGTACTGAAACCTCCCCCCCGACACACACTACTGGCTAATCATCCCAGCTAATTAACCACCAGCTGAGCCCACCATGCCTCTCTGAGTTGTTGCAAATTTCTTCTCTGAACAACAAAAAAAAAAGAAACTTGATTTTTTTAAAAATGACACCATCCTTAAACGTAGCTTTACTCTTAAAGGTTAAAAAGCCCAGTGGCTTTTTAAAAGGTATCTGTGCCCCAAATGCTCAGCTAGTGCTATATCCCTGCTTTTCCTCCAGGGGGAGCACAACTTTCACGTATGGTTCAAGGCTTCTTTGTAAAGGGGAAATCAGTGTATATGTTCATGGATTGCCAAAGATCACCAATACTTTAATTTTACAGAAAAGAACACCATGTCCCACATAAGTTACATACTGACCATACACACACTAACCAGAAACAGATCTTGGTGTAGAACCTAGGTGTGAGCACTCTTATTTCCTATTAGACCACACTTAATAGAACAGAACACATCTTCTTACTGTTCATTTCTAATATAATATTATTTTCAAAAGCATAGTTTGGAGAAAGTAAAAATAAATTTTAAGAGTTTTAAAAGTTTTGTTTTATATCCAAAACAGTGATTCCTATCCAAAGTTACTGTTCCTTACAAATGTTTACTTTCTTGTCTTAATATTTTTTTTTTACAGTAAGTCCATTTGAGTAGAAAGGAAAAAGACAAATTTTGGCTAAGAGAAAAAAGGGTCTCACAGAAATTGAACAGACATCGATATTTATTCACCACAGCAATGTAAGACTCTTAGGGGCTGAGGCTATAGCTCAGTGGTAGAGCACTTGCTGAGTATACACAAGGACCTTGGTCACATCCCTAGCACTGGCCCCTGAAAAGGGGGAGGAGAATCTCATTTGATTTCAAAAATTTTTGAGAGGTTCTCTCTCTCTCTTTTTTTAGACTATCCATAGTTCTATTCTACGAGGGACATTTCAGTGCAAAAGCCTCCTGAACAAGGCGAGTTTCCTGCTGGAAACAGTAGTTTGGCTCCACTCTGGCTAGATATAGAATGGTGCACCTTCTAAAAAGCTTGTGCTCAGTTCCACTTCAAAGCTGATTTCTTTGCAAAATATAAATGGAAGAAAACATTCCCTCCTGCCTTCTGACTGAGTTCCCACAGACTGAGGGCAACAAGGGTGACCTCACCGGCTGGGCAGATGAGAAGACAAACCACAGAGCCTATAACAATTTTAAGACAAATAAAACAGTGATTTAACAACAAAATAAGATCTTACCTGCTGAACAGCATCTGGAGTTTTTTTTGGAGTTTCCAAAATAGCAGCTTGAGATTCTGGATAGGACATGAAGCAGACAGTCAACATTTTAAAAGACAGGGAAAGAATAATAAACAGTTTCCTTAGTCAAAAAAATAAAATTTTCAGTAAAATATACCTGCATAAGTACCACAAATACCCAATCTCTTCCAATTATTACACTAATAGATTATGAGAATGCAAAAAGTTTTCAGGATATAACACACATATAATGACAATCATTTTTTTCTTCTGAGTTTATTGGTACTTTTTAAGTATACAGTACAGTTACATTTATCATGGGGATCTTGCACCTTTACATGACAGGTCTTGGTTCTCATTTTTTCCCCATACCCCTGCCAACAATCATTACTTTTAAAAACTGTAATAGTTCTATTCCCTTCTTTGCACATCAACCACAGCTATTTTTCTTGATTGCTAATTTCTGTATTGTGTCAGGACATCCTAACAATAATGGAAGCCACCTCGGTCTTAAGAATGGCATCTCAAAGGTCTTCTGTAAACTACTCACAAATTACCCTCTGGTTTCCAAGACAAGGAAAGAATACTGCTACCAAAAGAAATTAAGTAATAAAGCACTTTATTCCTTCTGTGTTTTTGTCATTTGAGATTCTATGAGATTGCAAAATCATCACGCTGGGAACCCTAAGGGATAACCAAGTGTGGGATTTTTATTTACCTAGAAGATATCTCCTAAATGAAGTCTGTATACAAATTTAAAAACATAAAAATAAAAATAAGCCTTCAGGAATCCCCAGAGTTCCATGGATCCGAATATAAAAGCCACTAATTCTCATCCCTCCTCAGCGTGGTAAGTAAGCAGCCCAAGCCCCGTAGCATAGCAGGTGGCAAGTTGAAAACAAGTGTTTGTGTCTCCTGACTGTCACATTCCTCTCCCTTGCCCGCCTGGCCTGCAGATCAGACAACGGACCCGAGATGCAGCAGTCACTTGCCACAACCATGGCGACAATCCCAATTTAGAAACACTGGCGTTGCCACAATGCCCCAGAAAGTAAAAGACATTTACCTTATAAATAGCATAACAGACTGCGAAGCTACCGTGAGAGTTCTCACTGCGCTCACACGAGTGTCAGTCTCGACACAGGCTCTTGAGCATGGTCTCTTCAGCCCACACTTCCTAATCAACCGCTTCCCCCGTTCCCTGTTTGCTCACTGTGCCCCAGCTATCCTGGCCAGCTTGCCACCCTACCTGGAATGCTCCTCCTCCCCAGTATCCTCAGGACCCACTCCTTGGCCCTACCTTCCCTCTTACGCTAACAAATCTATAGTCTGAATTGACATCAGACTTGAACAAAGTCGAACCTAAATAAAGGTCTTTGACATCAAACCGGTCCACAGTTAATAAAGAAGTAACACTCCTGTTTTCTGGTGTTCTTCACTTCCACATCCTCCCCAACACAGATTGAAGCCTAGTCCTGGATTTATACACATGTAGAAAACTTTCTTTCTCTCTTCTTTCTATTTACACAGCTCAATATGAGCCCAAAGGATCTCCTAGTGGTGCCCTAATAGTTCTTTACATTAATTTTTTTTCTATAGTCCTTGACCTGGTGACCCATATTTTTAAAAAATTCTTAGCGTTTGCTAGAAAGAGTAGGACCAAATATTCTCAACACTCACATTTTACCTCCATTGACCAGATATGATTAAAAAAAAAATACGGTACATTGTCATTTTTTTTAATTTATAAAAAAGATGCATCGCTGTTGGTTCTTACTAAAGTTCTCACACACACACTTCAGAAACACTTGTCCCGTTGTTCTAGCTGCTTTCTAGAGCAGCTCTGGAAGCCCTCTTCCCGGAGCGTCAGTGGATATACGGTCACGGCTCTCTTCATATCCCGAACCAATTCAAGACGTCTGCACACCACGGTCATTTTGACTTTGGGAATGAGTCAGAAGCCCCACGATGCCGGAGTCAGTGAATAAAGTGGGTGAGGACACAGCGTCATGTTTTTGCGAGGCTGCCTCTCCTCTGGATGGCACTGGGTAGCAGCATTCACTGTCTTTTTAAACACATCTTGTAAAGATACACAGAGGACCCCCAGAACTGCTTCAGAAAGTGGCAGGAACGATGGAATAACGTGTTCAAAGCGAGGCAGAGTATTTTCAGGGAGATTAGTAACAATGTATCTTTTACCGTATCATTTTTTTAATTCAAACACGTATGGAATTTTTTAATCACTCCTTCTCATTCAGTATCTTCCAGAGCAGAACTCATTCCCCTCCTCATTCTTGTCAATGCACACTCTTGATTTTCTTGAATCTAAGTGTTGAAACATCTAAGGGAAATTATATATCAAAATAGATTCTTCATAACCATAAACTGGAAAGTAGGAGATTTAGGGGATAAAGAATTTAAGATGAAAGAGATACACAGAGTAACTACTGCAAGATAAAAGGGAAATAAATGAGAACAAAGAAAAGAAAACAATGAAGGAGAAGGAAAATGATAGACAATAAAAGAGAAATGGAGAAAAAAAGTATTGGAGAGAAAAGTATTGGAAGCAAAAAGAATTTTTAAAAAGCAAAAGAATCACAAAAGTGGCGTGCAGTGCTTGAGTACAGAGACACCGGCACACTGGGAGGAAACAGCTGAACAGGAGAGTCTGGGGCAGGTGGACGTGAGAAGCCACTCAGCTCTGATCAACAGAGGCCCCTCAGAGACTGATGCCATCCTTACCGACACCCAGGGGCGCTCTCCAGTGCTGCCTTTACCCCAGTTCTGGGACTCAGTCTCTAGTAGATTTTCATCAACTAAAATGGTTCTTGTTCAAAAAGCAACTAAGAGTGATTCAAAGGTACGTTTAAAACTACCATCTCCTTTACTTAAAAAAAAAAAAAAAAAAAAAAAAAAACTAAGAAATTAGAATGTTTAAAAGAAAAGCTAGGAGCGGAGGGTGTAGTTCAGTGGCACAGTGTCTTCTTAGCATGTGGGCGATGTGGGGTCCAACCCCACCACTGCTCAGAAAAAAGTATTATGAAGCAAAGGAGAAAGCAAACTCCTGGAAAAATAATAAATGTTCTAGTTTTTTAGTTACTTCAGAAAATTCTCAGCATAATCTGAACTCCTAGGTTACACACAATTCCAATTGTTTCAGAAATGATTTTTTTATCATCATGAAATAAGCCTATCACTATAAAAGGAAACATTCTTGGATGTGTTCTATACTATATTTATATCAATGAGATAGGCATATGTAGGATCTCAGCCTCATTGCTAAGAATGCAAATTAAACTGCCCCGTTAAGCATTTACAACATATGCCTTATAAAAATGAATTAAGTGGTCCTGAACAGTTTCACAGTTTAAGTGTTTTGATTAAATACTTTTAAGGATTAGGGAGGTAGCTCAGTGGCAGACTGCCTGTCTAGCATGTGCAGGGACATGGGTTCGATTCCCAGCTCCACAAAAAAAGGTGTGCTTATAAATTATTAAATTATAGCATACAGCAATTTGACTGGAGTCTGGTCAATTTAATTGTAATCAAATCCATTAAACTTAACATGCCTCAGAACAGGCTGCCTTATAAATAAATGGTAGATGTTTTAAATTCTGATATACCATGTTCTTCCACATGTGAAGATGAGCTTTAACATTTCAGTTTTCCACTACAGCACTCTGAAAAAAGAGATCGAAGAGGATATAAGAAAACAGAAAGATATCTCCTGCTCCTGGGTAGGAAGAATCAACATAGTGAAAATGGCCATACTTCCAAAACTGCTATACAGATTCAATGCAATGCCAATTGAAATTCCAACACTATATTTCCAAGAACTAGAAAAAAGAATCCAAAAATTCATTTGGAACCACAAGAGACCTAGAATAGCAAAAGCCATCCTAGGCAACAGACACATGGCAGTGGGTATAACCATTCCCAATTTGAATTTATACTACAAAGCCACTGTGATAAAAATAGCATGGTACTGGCAAAGAAACAGACCTGAGGATCAGTGGAACAGACTGGAAGATACAAAAACAACTCCAGATGTACTCAGCTACCTCATCTTTGACAAAGGAGCTGACCATCCCCACTGGAGGAAAGATAGCCTCTTTAATAAATGGTGTTGGAAAAACTGGATCTCAACCTGCCACAGATTAAAACTAGACCCTTATCTCTCACCATGCACTAAAGTAAAATCCAAGTGGATTAAAGATCTAAACATTAAAACAGAAACACTAGTCTTGCTGAAAGATAAGTTAGGCAGAACTCTTGAAGACACTGGCATAGGAAAAGACTTTATGAACAGATCCTCAGTAGCATGGGAACTAGCAGAAAGAATCAACAACTGGGATCTCATCTTATTAAAAAGCTTCTGCACTGCAAAAGAAACCATCAACAAAACTAAGAGATAACCTACAATGTGGGAAAAAATTTTTGCCAGCTGTTCCTCAGACAAAGGACTACTATCGAGAATATATAAAGAACTCAAAACAATCAAAAATTCCCCAAATACAAAGACCCAATTCAAAAATGGGCATCTGAAATGAACAGACATTTCTCAGACAGAGAAGTAAAAGCAGCAAATAAATACATGAAAAAATGTTCCACACCACTGGTCAGTCAAGAGATGCAGATGAAAACAGCACTGAGATTCCACCTCACCCCACAAAGAATGGCTGCTATCAAGAAATCACACAATAACAAATGTTGGCACAGTTGTGGGGAGAAAGGAAACCTTCTCCATTGTTGGCGGGAGCGCAGACTGGTGCAACCACTATGGAAATCAATATGGAGATACCTCAAAGAGCTGGGACTGGAGGTTCCATTTGACCCAGCCATCCCTCTGCTGGGTATCTTTCCAAAAGAATTAAAAGAATCATATCACAGTGACATATGTGCACCTATGTTTATAGCAGCACAGTTTGTAATAGCTAAAACTTGGAAACAACCCATTTGCCCATCAGTTGGAAACTGGATAAAGAAGATGTGGTTTTTCTATAAAATGGAACACTACTCAGCCATAAAGAATGAGAAATTAGATTCATTCGTAGGA